ATCCAAGAATTGGTGCAATATATAATAAATATGTATCTTGATGACAGTAAAAGGTTGACACAACCAACTTGAATGTTTTCAATATATCATAAGCACACCTGAACTCTCCTATATATCACCTTCCAATTCCACACTTTGTGGAAATGTAATGAGAAGTTCAACACTATATATAAAAAATACTTACAAACTATGTGCATAAAGTAGGTACAATCAAGCAGTTCAAAAACTTGAGTCAAACCATCATAATAAAAAAATATCATAAATATTCAACAATGAGGTTTCTGGCAGAGAAACTAAGAAATCCCGACTTCCAAATTGTTCAAATATTTTCGTCACAAGTACAAAAAAAATACCTAAGTTATAGGTACAAGAGTGAACAATGAGAGATTTTTTTAAAATATTTAACTTAAGGCATTGTTAAAGTGTTAAATTTAAAAAAAAAGTGCCTCAAATTAAAAAAAAAAAAAAGAAAGTGCCTTAAATTTTATTATACAAATTTGCCAAAGTTTTTCAACAAAAAGAAAAATGTTCCCATGATATTAAAATAATAAGAAAAAATTATGATGATAATTCCAGAAGATTGAAGGGCCTCACATCCCATCACATCACATTGCATGGCTGACAACAAGACATATCCACATTCACTATACATATTTACTTCTGGCTCGAATCAGTGCCACAGCAAGGCAGGCAATGATCAGCGTGGCGAGGATCCCAAAGACCACCAGTCCCCAGGTGGCTATCTGGAAGTCCCTGAAGGCAGCGGGGGTTGGCCAGGGCGTGGTGAACACTGAAAAATAGTTTATATACCAAAATATACATTTTATTAAAATTATCCTTACATACCTCCAACTTTGGTCACACACACACACACACACAAATAATTCCACATCCACAATCACACACACACACACACACACACACACACACACACACACACACACACACACATACTATGTCAACAATTCTTACCTGGAATAAGATCCACAACCTCTGAAAACCTATACATCCAGAAGGCAAACTCGTCCTGCCTATACATCACATCGTGATAGGGGTACTCGTCAATCACGAGGAAGGTGAGATTGTACGGGTTAACAGGGAGCCAGGTGATATTACGCAGGTGGTCGCGGCGTATGTCACCTTCCTCTGGGAGATCAGGTGTCGTGTTGCTGGAAGAGAAAAGACAGGCATTATGGTATTGTACCCAACAATGAAATAAATTAACTCATGTCAAAGAAATATTGTATTACTTATCAAGAAAAAAAAATTAAATAATTAAATAAGGTTGAATAATAATTTATGTTGAAACAACTTTTTTCTTATTTAATTGAAATCCAACAATCTAAAGCAATTTAATTGTAATGTAGACCTTAGTAAAATGTAGGATTGTTCAAACCATCAGTGAAAAAAACATCCAACACCTAACCAAAAGTATGTGTGATTGTCTCTGTTTAAAGAACTTCTTATAAGACAAAATAAAACAATATCAAAATTCTAAGCTAGAAAAATATATTGAACATAGTATTATATCGCACACATATGCAGACCACATATAACATTATTCTGTTCCAAGTTGGTGCTGCACTTTTAATCAAATTTTTAACCCTCAATGATCAAAGCCTTACCCTCTTCTGGCAAACTCCGTATACACAGTGATCATGAAGTCACTCATATTTCTGTCCAAGTAGCCGTCATATAGTTTATTAATCTTGATGCTACTGACATTGGCGAAAGTGTAGTTCATGTGGGGAAAACCAAAGATATATGGGATGTCAGCACCATGGGGGATACCTGAATATATGACAGAGTAATTTAAATATTATGTTGAACGTTGTCCCCATGTGGTATATATGTATAATTCCAGGCTTCCAATGGCCAGTTACCATACTGTATAGTTTAAATATTCTTAGTCATAATGTCTTCTACATGCAATGGTATATAGTAAAAGTATCTCTGCCTCGAGGCCTTAAACTATTTTTTTCTCACTGTGGATTTTCTTTATAAAACTATCAGGACAGTCCTGAGCATTGCTGTGGTCATAGAAAGGAGGCACAAACATCGCTTAGGTTACAGAATGTTTTCTTAACTCTCAAACCTAGCCATACTTTGGGACGCAGAAAGGACATCGTCCAGAGTAAAGGGGGCTTAAATGAAGAATTTCAAAACAAACGACTCCTTGAAACTCACCTCTCCATCCAGGCTCTGTCTCCATTTCTGACCTGTACTGGAACACGTAGAAATACGTCCTATTTAAGTTGGAGGCGTTCTTCAAAGTGTAGTCCAGTCCAGCGCCATACTTGAGATCACCATATAACTGAAAACACATCAACATCATTATTATCACCATCAATTTAGGGATAACACAGTCAGAGAATAATTCCAGTAGCCTGTTATTTTATAAGAATAATCATGACATAATTCTTTCTTCAATCAACAGCTTACTAGTGATATATTAAGGCAGTAGTTTGGGAGGCAAGTATTATATATTGTCTGAATGGAAGTTATTCTCCTTTGTAGCCTCAATCCCTGACAAAGATGCTCTAACAGACAGTGACATATTAGACGTAAAAAATTTCAATATTTAGCTGTTGATTTAAGACAAATTTAACTTTATTCTTAGGGATAAGACTCATAACTTACATGCATCAACTCCTGTGTCCTTGCAGTGGCGTTGTCTGGGTTTGTCCAGTACGTATATTCAAACCTCACTGCTTCCCTCGCCCTCTCAATGTCCCAGATTCTTCGTCTCGCCAGAAAGTCGTCGACCGCCATGTCAAACTCTGTCTCTGTGATGCCTTTCCCCATGGTGGGAGAGATGTTGGCTGTAATGATGAGAGGTCAATGAAATTTCTGGCAGTCATGTTACAAATTGAAGCCAAATCATGTCTTATCAAAGAGAGCAAAAAATGGCAAATGGGCTAATAAAACCCTTAAGTTTCCTCAATCCAAAGTAATTTTTTTTTATTTATTATTGCCTTTTGTTATTATCTATTTTGGCCCAAGTAATTTGGCAAATGATTCAAAGCCTATTCTAATGTAAAAAGAAATAAATTACCACACCTACAGGCAGTCTTCTATTGAAAAATTAATTTGACTTATTTAATTTCAAGGTCAAATGAAGGACTCGGTCTGTATTTGTCATCTTTTGTATAATCAAATAAACAGTTTTACATTTCCATTTGTCATCTGCTTCTGCAAATGTACACCATACACCCCACGAAATTTCTTTTTTTAAGAAATACCCAAAACATCATATAGAACTTACGTATCAAATATGATCCCTCATTCAAACACAGCCCTGCCAAAAACATGACTGGTGCAACTGCACCTCTCTCTCTGAGGTTTCGTGGGGTATCAGTGAGGAAGCCATCATAGCCATCCACTACAGGGGCCCAGGGGCCTGCAGGCAGCCATTCCTTGAAAATACACACTCAATGCATCAATAATTTTATATCATAATTATCCAATCAATTATAGCGGCCCAGGGAAACCACTCCTGGAAATTTCACACTCACTGCTTCAGTATTTTTATTTATTTATTACATGTAAATATTTAATGCTATTATTCACAGCAGTCCTCACCCTCTTAGAAATATTGAGGCCAGCCAGGGTAATCTCCTCCCAGCTCTTGGTGTACCTGATTTAAAAAAATAATAATAATAATAATTGAAATATTCACTTATTTCCTATATAGCACATTTCACTATAATAACACATCCCATGCACTTTACACATATATAATATCTTATACATTTTTCAAAATTATAATTATATTAAAATGATACAAACTCTTGTTTAAAAGTTTAATCATAAAAACTTGGAAAAAGATGAGATTTTAGACAAGTTTCCATAATTTTCGGGCATGAACAGTAAAATCCCATAAAATTTGTTACATTGTCACTTCATTTCAGACTGGCTACGAATAAGTGTCCATTCCCAAAGAACCTATCATTCTACAAAGATAGATCCAACATCAGGGGACTCGTGATAACTACTGGTGATAATATCAGTACATTGTAAACAAGTGGAGGCATGTTAATCTGTTAATCTAATTACATTCACCTAAAGTCCCACAGAGCTGGATTAATCTACTAGTACCTAGAACAACAATTTCATTGGAAACAAGCCCTAAAATTGTTGCAAAAAGAGATTCTAGATTCCCCCAGTTACCTGAGGCACTGGATCAGAGAGTGGTGATCATTGTGGTCCACGGGACACCCCAGGCGGTACCCCAGCTCATAGGCATACTCCCTGGGGCGATACTTGGGCTCTATCACCCCCCACTCCACCATGTCTGCTCCTCCAGCTGCAGCCGCCTTGGTGAAGAGTTCTGGGAGAAATAAATTTATTATTTAGTGATTGGAGGAAGGAATAAACTATGAATTAGTGAGTGAGTGAGTGGATAATGACTGACCAACTATGATAAGGAAATAAATTATTAATTAGTGAGTGAATGAGTAATCAAGTGAGTAATTGCCTGAGTAAATAAGTTGTTGTGTGTGTGTGTAAACAAGATGGCAACTGAGTGAGTGTGAGAAAAAAAACTAATGAAAATTTATGCACTTTTAATTTGCTTGGTGTTACTGGCTTCAATTCAAATCCAACACTCAAATCTCCATGCAAATTGCATTCTAAGAAGGTTTACTCACTTCTTCCTCTCGACTTATCTGACACCAGATGGAGCCCTACACTGACTGCGCCTGCATCATGCCCAAATATCATGACATTATTGGGGTCTCCATAGAAATACCAGATGTTTTCTCTAATGAACTCCAGAGCCCGAACTTGATCCAACATCCCATAATTCCCCCTGGCTTTTGCATCCTCAGTAGATAGAAAACCTGCAAAACATATTTGCTTACTAGGTAAGAATGTTCTTGCCTTATATGGAGAGTGATAAGCTCTTGTACCAGTCCTCTTTTTGCTAAGTTTTCATATCTTAAGGAAAATGATATTATTTTTTTCTAATAAAAAAATTGAATAAAAGTAAAAAAAAAAAAAAAAAAAAAAAAAAAAAAAAAAAAAAAAAAACGTGAAACAAATTAAGTATTTAGGTGTACATAATTATGGAACTGCAAGAATTTTAGATGATAAGGGGAAACTACTTTAGACAGAGACAACATTTTCAATTTATCTAATGGATTTTCATGCTTTGTATGAATGAAAAAGGTAATTCCACTTGTGCCTTTAAAAACTCTGCTATTTTTGCTCCTTTGAAAAAGCTGTATGTAACATTATCAGAAAGTACACAATTCCTTACCTAATGGACCCAGCCTGTAGTTAAACGTTACAAGAACGACTTGTCTCTGCGCAAGAACTGTCCCAGGATACATCTGTGCTGAGCCGTGTGTGAATTCTCCTCCATGGATATATACTAGCACTGGCCATCTCTTGCCATAATACGGGTAATATGTGATCTGAAAATGGACACCACACACTTGAATACAGACAGGTATTACATAACATAAAAAGACTTTGCGACCATTTTCACGCTGTGTAGTATATTGATTGACAACATAATACTGGTTACAACATAAGACACTCATCAAAACAAAGTACCACTCTCAAAACAGCCAGTTAACCTAATTAATTTTTATTGGTCCAAACAGTTATGAAGCAAACGTGCATTCTCACATTATTAAAAAGCCTCCCCCCCCCCCCACCACCACCGAGTCTAAACCACACTTACATTTGGTGTGAAGATATTCATGTAGAGACAGTCCTCACTGGTATTGGTGTGGTGAGGCAGGTGTTGTTGCAGGACAATGTTCTTAGGCTGGGGACACGCTGGTCTATAGTAGGTGGCATCCCATGTTTTATACCTCTCCACGTCTCTCTCCATCCACTTGTCAGGCTCCTCTGGGGGCTACAGGTGCATGAAATGTAAATTTGTGTTTAAACTGAGTTAAAAAGGTAAGGAAACTAAAACAAATAAGTTGTTTTCCATCAAAATTAACAAAAATCCTCTTTTGAGCACTATTCTTGTTATTTTCTGCTTTAGGT